TCCATCAACCCTAGCGTTTTAAAAATCTTTCTGACTGCTTTGTGTACCAGTTGAGAATTCTCTTGTTCCAAAAAATTGAACAGAGCTTCTTAGTAATATGACTTGACTAATGACGAACGGCAGCAGGAACCAGCTTTTCTTTGACAGAAAAATCTTAAATGAGTGACGTTGCCATAAAAAAAAAAAAAAATTGCTTTAAACACATACCTCTCGAGATTTAACTACTACCTTATAAAGCTGAAACATTCATTTTTGCACGCTTTATTTTTTTTGCCGTATAATTGAATACAGGATGAACTGAAAAATCTCTTTACTAATCTTCTGTGTGTTATCTGAAAATTGAAGATTGATCTTGGGAATACTAAGTCGGAGGTATATAAATTTTGGTGGAAAATTTGGGCTTTTTTTTAATTTGTAGATATCAAAGATCTTATCTCAAAATTTCCTATTGGTTCCTCCGGAGAGAGAGAGCGTGCGACCATTTGAACGTGATAACGTTTAACGTCGTATGTTCATTGCCTTTCCTGAGCGATTGTCATGGTCATTGTCTTTTTCAGTAATTATCATTATTTTATGGCGTTTTTTCCATACGGAGCCTATCCGGCCCATTATATCTATTTAGTTTTAGTCATTGTCATTGTCATTGTCATTCTCTTTATCAATTTTCGATCGCGTTTTTCCAATTCGGGTCTTTGGCGAGCTATTCTCAGCCAGATCCAAAGTTGTTGGCTGAATTACGTATTTGGTGAGGCTTCGGCAGTTGAGTATTAATTTGTTTGTAATGTGATGGTTTTTTGAACAAAGAAAACTTAAAAGGCATTTGTCAAAAGTTAATCAGATGTCAAAAATACGTAGTCGAATTACGATTTAGCAGATACTGCTCACGTCCTCTTCAAATAGACCGCGAACATTTGCATTAGGGTATCACAAATGGCATTAAAGGGAACAGCATTTTTATTGTTGCTGGTTCAAACATCGGCAACCATCTCGGACATGGAAAGAGACTATAATCTCTTGGCCGCGGACAATAACTCAGAATTTTCGCGTTTCAATCACTTAAAACCGTGGGATAACAGACAGCTTTTGGGATACGTCGTCAAACAGTTCAATTCTCCCAGTTTGTTATCGTGCGCTCAGCAGTGCCTTTTGACCGCCTGGTGTACTTCCACAAACTTCAAGTTGTTTTCCAAGAAGGACAGCAAAGGAACTTGTGAGCTGAACAAGCACGACATCTGTGTTGTTAACGAAAACGTCGATTTTGCTGAGCAGAAGGGGGTCATTTTCTCATTGCTTCTAAAGGTGATTTAACGAGGTGTTGGTTTAATCATCTTTAATTCTTCTATCAGGATTTAAATAAATTTTTAACAAGCTAGTAACGTGGATTCACACAATTCCGTTTCTTTAACAATTCTGAGTAGATTTCTCGTTCTATCTTCTCTTCTTCGTGCAGAGAAACTGGACGGCGTAAGTTCTTCAATTGACGGGTGACATTGTCGTTTCCTCAAGATACATAACATCAAAAACAAAGAAAAACAAGCGACAAACTAAAAGCAATAAAGCGAAACCAGAAATTTTCAGCAATGTTTTGTCCAGGCTCTTAAGCACTATGACCGTGTGATTGATTTTTCTTTCGTAATCGACCTTAGCAGATTGTTCGATACAGGGTATTTGTTCAGTTGTCTCTTATTAAATATACCCAAGTTTAAAGCTGAGTGTTGTGTGAATATCGACCATACTGCATTACCCAAACTCAACTTGCTATAAACTCACATTACTATGGTGAGAAACATGTTAAAAATCTATTGTACCAGGTTGTAACAAATACTTTAACCTAAGTGTTCAAACGGCTGAAAGCAGGTAGTAAAAAATGTAGTTTTTGTTTCTGTTTGCAGCCAGTTTTCAATATTTGATCTGCATAACATCATTTATGGCCTGTATGCGATTTTTTATTTCGAAAATTACCCGTTGATGGGATCATTCGACCCATCGGTGGAAACACTTCCCCTCCTCTTCTTTTAATCATAATTATGGCAAAATTATTTGTTATTAAAACTGGTATATCACTCGAATATAGTTTGTTTAGATCATTAGCTGTCACGTACAACCCCTTCATGTTCATTGTTATGATAATATTTTGGAAATGACATGATCTGATTTTTTGTCAACTTCTACTTACCAATAGGATTGCCCGCAAGGTTGGTTTCGTCATGAGAATTCATGCTACCTTATTCATAACACTCCCACTCCAAGATGGAACGATGCACTCACGTTTTGTCAAAATCACCGGGCACATCCGCCGATAATCAAATCTGCCGATGAGAACGACTTCATATTTCGCGTTATAATGAGCCAACCAAACGGGAGAGATCTTAGTGCATGGATTGGACTGAGCAGAAAAATGGACGATAAGTTTTACTGGATGGACGGTACTCCGTTAGCGGGCCGGTTCTCAGCATGGGCGCAGGGAGAACCAAACTACCTTCACGAAAAATGTGTTTTTATATTCAGAAAAAAGTGGTACGACTGTCCCTGTACTTTTGGTGGTTCACCTCCGTTTCCAGCCCCAGTTGTTCTGTGCCAAAAAAGTATTTTCTGACTGTTGGATTCCTTAATAGTTCACCTCAGTTTATCCAATGTTCACGTTATGTTCCGGAAGTTAAAGTTTGTACGCCGCTATGAGTTATGCTGTAATCGTTTCATAATGGCCTCTCGTATGATTAAAGACTTCTAAGTTTATCAGTTCCATCGTTCATCAATCTTGTTCATCGTTTGTCGGCATTAGAGAGAGACATCACAGTCTAACATATTCTGTGTTCAATGAAAACCTGCTCACATTAAGTTCGATTTAAAAGTTCACTTGCATGAACGGCATATCACAAAATTGAGAACTCGTCTATTTAAGGTGAAAAATTTTGAAAGATATAGCAAAGCTTATATTTAGATTAATCATGCTAAACAAACAAAAAAATTGACTGTCCTTACTGGAAGAGCATAATTATTATTTTGTGTTGCCGTTGATGAAGAAGCTCAGGAAAATGGCCTGCATTGACATAGGAGTCTAAAAAATCTTGGCTATGACCGCTGGAAAATGTCATTGTAGACTCAATTGAGTGAGATTTGAAAAAGCATTTTCGTGGGTT